TTCGTCGTCACCAGCTTACTAGCTACTGCCGATCCATTTCTCATCACTCCACTTGTCATGTCTTGTCTTGTCAATCACACACATCTGGTGCTCATTCCCCTAATTAGTACAAGTGTTCCCCTTGTCTTTGTGAGTGATTGTTTCATTGTGAGAGCAAGTAGCTTGGTTGTTATTGTGCAGGTGGAATATTTCCCTTGTGATAGTTTCGTTTTGACGCTTGGTGCGTTTTATTTATGTAAACGGAATAAACTCTGGACTTCGGTGTTTTACCTCCTGCACCTGACTCCTTCATTCACACCTCATCACACTGTTTCCGTCTTCCAGAGATTTGAGACTTCCTGCCGGACAATGACCCTAAGCATACTGCTAAAGCAACACTCGAGTGGTTTAAGGGGAGACATTTCAATGTCTTGGAATGGCCTAGTCAAAGCCCAGACCTCAATCCAATTGAGAATCTGTGGTATGACTTAAAGATTGCTGTACTCCAGGAGCTGGAGCAGTTTTGCCTTGAAGACTGCACGCTCAAGTTTTATGTTTTTTTGTATTTTTTCTTGTTTGTTTCACAATAAAATATATTTTGCATCTTCAAAGTGGTAGGCATGTTGTGTAAATCAAATGATACAAACCCCCCCAAAATCCATTTTATTTCCAAGTTGTAAGGCAACAAAATAGGAAAAATGCCAAGGGGAGTGAATACTTTCGCAAGCCACTGTACCTGCATAGCTATGGATTATGATTCATCATGGCAGACTGAAACACTTTCCAAATATCCTTCACCAACACGAGCAGCTGAATAAAATATTGGGAAATCATACAATCTTCACACCCCCGTATATTTAAAAGCCCCCCTCTCGTAGCTTTTTCCCCCTCATATGCACAGATCAAATGATCCCCCGCTGTTTTATGGTGGCAATGCACAAAGGAATATGACACAGAGCAGCGGTCTGGTTATCGACCGTGACAGGCGAAGTGGCACTGGGTGGATTGCGTTTGTGCAGTGTGGGTGCAATCCGCTCGGTTGCCTGTGTGTTATGTGAGTGCAGAGCTACCCTTGCTCTTGCAATCGTCTAATGTTGAGACTGTGGATGCCTCTTGTAATGCAATATGTGTGTGTGTGTGTTGTGTGTATGTGTGTGAGAGAGAGGAACTCTGGTGGTTTCCTTTACCTTTCTATGTAGCTATGTCAATAATATTATTCAACAGAAATAACCTTTTACCCTGTACAAATAATACAATGTCAAGTGTCTGCTCTTAGCGAGTTGCTCTGGGCAAGGCGGTGCTTTTCCACGTGCTACATTAATTTGAAATATCAACTTAAAAATGCTAACATCCCCTGTTATTCGTATAATGGTAAGAAGTTAGGTTATTTTGTTGTAGCCTCTGTAACTTTCTCACTCATCATTATTCATGATCCATTCATGTTTTTCTTAATCATGGCCCTGGGCCCGGTTTCCCAAAAGTATCTTAAGGCTAAGTTCATCGTTAGAACCTTCGTAGGAGCATCATTGAATCTCCAAGCTGTTTCCCAAAACCAATGTTAGCAAAGTTGCTTTTAAAAATGCTTCAACAACTAAGTGCGTTGTTAGGTGCTTTTTTTGCCCTTCTTTATACAGAGAAGATTTTTGTATTTGTATTTATTAGGGATCCCTATTCACTACTCTTCCTGGGATCCAAACATGTTAAAGAACTTACATTACATATAAAATATAATATAAAACAGTACATCATATAACATTATTACCACACTACATAGCTACAATACAACATGTTTAATACCACCATATAACAACATCACAGTGTGTGCGTATGCATGTGTCTGTACCTTTGTGTGTGTCTCTTCACAGCCCCTGTCGTTACATAAGGTGTATTTGTACCTGTGGTTGAGGTTTGGGGTTTAGTGAATGATTTGTCCCAAATACAATGCTTTTAGTTTTGGAAATATTTAGGAATAACTTATTCCTTGCTACCCATTCCGAAACTAACTGCAGCTCTTTGTTAAGTGTTGCAGTTATTTCAGTTACTGTAGTAGTTGACATGTATAGTGTTGAGTCATCCACATACATAGACACACTGGCTTTACTCAAAGCCTAAACAACTACCCTGGGGAATTCCTGATTCTACCTGGATTATGTTTGAGAGGCTTCCATTAAAGAACACCATCTGTGTTCTGTTAGACAAGTAACTCTTTATCCACATTATAGCAGGGGGTGTAAAGCCATAACACATATGTTTTTCCAGCAGCAGACTATGATCGATAATGTCAAAAGATGCACTGAAGTCTAACAAGACTGCCCCCACAATCATTTTATTATCAATTTCTCCCAGCCAATCATCAGTCATTTGTGTAAGTGCTGTGCTTGTTGAGTGTCCTTCCCTATAAGTGTGCTGAAAGTCTGTTGTTAGTTTGTTTACTGTGAAAAAGCATTGTTTCTGGTCAAACACAATTTTTTCCAGAAGTTTACTATGGCTTGGAAACAGGCTGTTTGGTCAGCTATTTGAGCCAGTTAAAGGGGCTTTACTATTCTTGGGTAGCGGAATGACTTTAGGTTCCCTCCAGGCCTGAGGGCACACACTTTCTAGTAGGCTTAAATTGAAGATGTGGCAATATTGTCCGCTATTATCCTCAGTAATTTTCCATCCAGATTGTCAGACCCCGGTGGCTTGTCATTGTTGATAGACAACTATACTTTTTTCACCTCTTCCAAACTGACTTTACGGAATTCAAAAATACAATTCTTGTCTTTCATAATTTGGTCAGATATACTTGGATGTGTAGTGTCAGCTTTTGTTGCCGGCATGTCATACCTAAGTTTGCTTATCTTGCCAATGAAGAAGTCATTCAAGTAGTTGGCAATATCAGTGGGTTTTATGATGAATGAGCCATCTGATTCAATGAATGATGGAGCCGAGATTGCCTTTTTCCCCAAAAATGTATTTAAGGCGCTCCAAAGCTTTTTACTATCATTCTTTATATAGTTTACTTTTGTTTCATAGTATAGTTTATTTTAATTTTAATTTAGTTTATTCACATGATTTCTTAATTTGCAGTACGTTTGCCAATCAGTTGGGCTGCCAGACTTATTTGCCATACCTTTTGCCTCATCCCTCTCAACCATACAATTTTTAAATTCCTCATCAATCCAAGGGGATTTAACAGTTTTTACAGTCATTTTCTTGATGAGTGCGTGCTTATTAGTAACTGGAATAAGCAATTTCATAAATGTGTCTGGTTGCTCCTCATTACACACCACAGACCAGCAAATATTATTTACATCATCAACATATGAATCACTACAAAAATTATTGTATGACCTCTTATACACTATAATAGGCCCAGCCTTTGGAATTTTAGTTTTCCTAGATATGGCTACTATATTGTGATCACTACATCCAATGGATTTGGATACTGCTTTAAAGCAAATTTCTGCAGCATTAGTAAAGATGTGATCAATACATGTTGATGATTTAATTCCTGTGCTGTTTGTAAATACGCTGGTAGGTTGACTGACAACCTGAACCAGGTTGCAGGCACTTGTTACAGTTTGAAGTTTTTTCTGGATTGGGCAGCTTGATTAGAGCCAGTCAATATTTAAAATCACCCAGAAAATATACTTCTCTGTTGATATCACATACATTATCAAGCATTTCACATGTTATCCAGATACTGACTGTTAGCACTTGGTGGTCTATAGCAGCTTCCCACAAGAATGGGCTTTGGGTGAGGCAGATGAACCTGTAGCCATATTACTTCAACAGTATTTAACATGAGATCGTCTCTAAGCTTTACAGGAATGTGGTTCTGAATATAGACCGCAACACCGCCCACGTTGGCATTTCTGTCTTTTTGGTAAATGTTATAACCATGTATTGCTACCACTGTATCATCAAAGGTATTATCTAAGTGAGTTTCAGAGATAGTTAAAATATGAATGACATCTGTTACAAGCAAGTTATTGACTTCATGGACCTTGTTTCTCAGGCTGCAGATGTTAATATGGGCTATTTTTTAGCACTTTTCTGGGTTGCTTGATTGTTTTTAATGCTTTACTGGGAAGCTTATCAGAAGTAGACTTGCTCATGTTATTTATATTGGAGCTGATAGTGCAGGGTGAGCTGCACACAATGGTCTTCCTACTAGGGCACACCACCTCAGTGCTAACAGTGTAACTCTGGTTCATAGGCTCATGATTACTGCATTCAATAGCTGTAGGATCAACAGAGGTATTCAGGGCAATTAGGGGGACATAAATTATTACATTGTCTCTGCCAACACCCCAAGGATAATGTACATTTGATGCAGCATTATGACGACTCATTGTCACAATGGTAGGGGTTAACTGAGCTGGTCTTGGATCATTGATAAGTCATTGTTTCAACGCAGCCTTGAAATGCGTGGACAGAGTCCATGAGCCAAGATGATTTGGATGGACTCCGTCATTCCTGTAGAGTATCTTCTGTTTCCAGAAGGTGTCAGAGTTATCTATAAAAGTGATTCCAGCAGAGGTACAGTAATCTTTTAGCCAGATGTGTAATGCCAGTAGCCTGCTGAATCTTTCACAACGTGGCCCAACGATGGTACGGGACCTGAAATGATTGGCCGTTTTTTGGAGTCTTTTAATGCTAAAATCAGTTATTTAAAATCAATTTTCAGAAGTTCCGAGCTAGCCCTCCTGATGTCGTTTGACCCCACATGGACTATGACAGCGTCAGCTCCCGGTATCTGTCGTAGAACAGTTGGAAGCAGCCTTGTGATGTCCTGTACTCGTGCTCCTGGGTAGCACAGGGTTTAAGCATTGGGAACCGAGAGGTTTCTCACTACAGAGCTGCCGATGATGACAGCTGGTGATGTTGAATGGGCCGGTCTCTCAGGCAGCCTCACAGTCTGATGAGGGTGGGAGCTCTGAGGATCTGAACCCAAGGTAGAAGCCACCAGAGAGGGATCCTCCGGATCCGATCTTGAATGGGAAGCCCCTAAGGAAGAAGGAGCCGGAACCTCTGGATCAAGGGCGGCAAAGCCGTTTCTGGTCTATGTCAGGTCCGGGCTTAACATCTCCAAGGAGACGTCCGTTGCCAGAGGACTCTTTCTTCGATTTCCATGGTGAGTGATGTATCTCCATGGCTGGTTGGTTGAGTCGAGAACAGCTCCGTTCTCCAGGGAAGAGGGAGACCCCTTCGGGGATGGATCCCTGCTGAGCACTGGGCAGTCGGTTGTGGAGAGCCGACACGGCAGCGACACTTCCACCAGACCAGAGAAAAAGAAAAATTAGGCGTGCGTGGATTCCCCAGTAACTTGTGTTGGTTTGCTAGCAGTTGCTACATTGAAAGTCAGCGTGGTCCACATTGTCCCGGAACAAAGCAAAATAAACACAGCTCCTGCAGTGCTGGAAATGTTCAATAGCGACCTTTCATTTGAGACTGCCAAGCCAGCTAGGCAAGCTGGGCTTCCGTGTCTCTCCCCTATGCGGAATCTGGCAGGATCCCAGTACAGACAGCAGCGCTCATAGCAACTAAACACAACAGAGCCGCAGTATCCAAAATAAAATAAAAGTATTCAAAAACATTGTCAGCTTTACAAAAACAATCAACCGTGGTCTCTCGTTCAGCTTTCGTTCAGCTTTCAGCGTTCAACAACAAACAACATACAGTGCTGCTTGAAAGTATGTGAACCCTACAGGGCTGGTCATTATTTTGCCTTAACCCCAATTCGTAATAAAGACATTCCAAGAAAATGACAGAAACAAAAAAATATGATATATTTTAATTGTTTATTTAACAGAAGTGGTTTATTTAACAGAAACTCAGATTTGATGTGTGCAAAAATATGTGAACCCCTTCATTCAATAGCTTGTGGCACCTCCATTAGCAGCGATAACTTGGATTAAACGTCTCCTATAGCCAGTAATCAGTCTCTGACATCTGTTTTGAGGGATTTTTATCCCACTCCTCCTTACAGAACTCAGCCAATTGAGTGAGGTTTGAGGAGTGTCTGGCATGAACTGCTCGCTTCAGGTCCTGCCACAGCATCTCGATTGGATTTAGGTCAGGACTTTGACTTGGCCAATCCAAAACACAAATCTTCTTTCTCCTGAGCCATTCTTTGGTAGATTTGCTTGAATGCTTTGGGTCGTTGTCTTGTTGGAAGACCCATTTTCAGCTCCTTGACTGATGGCCTAACATTCTGTTCAAGAATCTCCTGGTATACCTCAGAATTCATGGTTCCCTTAATGATGTGGAGTCGTCCAGGTCCAGAAGAGGAAAAGCAGCCCCAGATCTTGACATTCCCACCACCATGCTTGACTGTTGGGATAAGGTTATTTTGGTTGTAGGCAGCTTTGGGTTTTCGCCAAACATACCAGTGTTGATTGTGACCAAAAAGGTCAATTTCGGACTCATCGGTCCAGAGAATGGACATCCAGAAACCTTCAGGCTTGTCCAGGTGGTTTCTGGCAAAGTTAAGAGGGGCAGTTTGGTTCTTTGACAGCAGAGGCTTCTTCCTAGCAACCCTCCCATGTATGGCATTTCCATTCAGTGTTCTTCTTATTGTTGCAGCATGCACAGTTACCTGAGATGCAGCAAGGGAGGTCTCTAGATCTTATGTTTGGGTTGGCTTTTACCTCATTTATTATTGTTCTTGTGGCTCTTGGGGATATTTTGGAAGGGCGTCCACTTCTAGGCCGAGTTGCTGTCATGTTAAATGCTCTCCATTTGTAAATTGTTTGTCTCACAGTGGACTTATTGAGCTCAAATCTTTTTGAGATGATTTTATAGCCTTCCCCAGACTGATGTGCTCTCACTACCCTCGTCCTGATGTCCTCTGAGATCTCCTATCCTCTCGGCATGGTGTGCTTTGCATTCACCTGGATGGGTAACACCAAACTGACCAGGTTTCTTATCTGTATTTATCAGAGTTCCGCCCAAACTCTTTCCTAACAATCTCTCCTTTGATTGGTTCATTTGGTAGGTAATTATTTACCCACCTGATTCTACTTACCTACTTGACTTAACCAATGCAACTTGGGTTTCACTTATTTTTGCAGTTCCACAAATTCCTTTTTAATTTTGTTTTTCTACTACACGCATGATTTACTCTACACCAACATATGGTATTGGTAAATATAAACCTGCTATGTCAGATCAAAAAGACTGGTTCTGATTAAATTAAGATTTCATGGTAAAAACAGAAAAAATCTGTAATTGCACAAGGGGTTCACATGCTTTCAAGCAGCACTGTACGTCAAGCTAAACATAGAATCAAAATGTTTATCTGTCTCTCTGTGACCACTTGTAACTTTAGAACAGTCAACTACAAATACAAAGTTGCCAATATCTTTGTAATTGTTACAAATAAGCAAAGGATAAATGAAATTAAAACTGAGATGACTGAATTAAAAGATAAATCCAGTAGGCTACATAGGCCTATATATTTAATTCATATTGAAATACATTTCATGTTCAACCAATTGAGTTCTATTTTGCAAATTGTAGGCCACTGCCTGTACTTATTGCCTCAATATATGTAATGATGTGTAACAACATGTGCACAATGATGTGCCAAATCTGGTACTTATTGGGTAAGCATTAGAATAAACTGCCTCAATATTTGCAGCCATAGGTGGTTATATCTCTCTAGGAGCTGATCTGTCGTCATTGTTGTGAAACAATTATAATGTTAATGTAAGATTTTAATATATAAAGCTGATCTGAGAGCAGCGCTGCCTTTCTTTCGATCCTTTCATTAGCGGCACATGCTCCAACAACTTAGTGAACGTTCTTTCTGCATGGTGTTTTGGGAAACGGATGTTACATCTTCGGCTGTTGTTGAACGATGCGTTATTAAAACCCTCGTAAGCCTGAGTTCCATCGCTATCAGCAAACCATGCTCTGGGCAAGGCAGTTCTTTCGCATATGCTGCATTAATTTGACTTCCTATTTAAAGCGCTTGCGAGACCCTAAAACTATTGTTAACTGTGTAATTGTTTTGCCTGTAGTCTACAGTAGTTAAAGTAGATGATGTGCCTAGTTACACATCTACTATTGAATGTAAACGTTTTCTAACACTGCTTTGCCTGTATTGCAATATTATGTGTAGCCTATACTGCATACATTCTAAACTAACTGGTCATATTTTTCAATTGCACATTATTAACATATTTATAACAACCTGGTTGCAGTGTTTTTGAGAAATAAGACATTGTTGTTATACTTCAGTGATGACACATTATAATGGAGCTGAGTGGTGAATGGAGCTGCTATGAATCACAAGCATCATTGCAGCCCTAAATATACACATTTTGTATATCATGCATAGGATAGCTAAATGGGAGGTGCTCCACAGTGGCGATGGGTTTTCATTTTATTCATATTTTCCCATTTGTACCTTCCACAGTGCTTACGAGATATTTATTGAGCACTATCCCTTAGCTTTCTTGAATATCAAATGGCAGGGCTTCCTTTACTTAAAAACAAATGCAGGATTGCGGCTCTAAAGCAGAAAGCAGTTGTGCTTAGCAGGAATGTAGAAAAGCCACTGTAATGGTATCTTCCTTATTATATCTAATGCTAACTCTTTCAGCTGGTCCCAAATCCATGAATCCTCTCCTTAGCCCTAACCCTTCAATGTTTGCAGATTTGGAGAGTTTGGATAGGTATAACCAGTGTAGTGGATGAGTCATATTGCTTCCACCATACAATTCTGCAAACATTGAAGAGTTGGGATCAAAAGGAGGGTAAAGGAATGAATTGGGAGTGTCTCTCTCTCTTTCAGTCTCTGTGTGTTTCTCTATTGGGACTAAGCCGTTGTCTCCGGGAGAATCTCAATTGGATTTCCTTGATTCCTCGCATCCTCTCTCTCCTTGCCTCCTTACAAAACCAATTGTCAGAGGGGAGGGACCTCTTACCTTCTCATCCAATTGGTTTTTAAAAGGAGTCGAGGAGAGAGGACTCGAGGAATCAAGGAAATGCATTTAAGATTCTCCCCATGTCTCTGTCTCTCTCTCCCATCTCTCCTCTCCATTACTCTAGTGTATGTCTCAATGGCACGTCTGTTGCATACCTGCAGAGGGAGCCGTGGTACTTTTCATTTGTTGCCATTGCTTTTGACATGGGAGTTTGCTCCAATGAGAAAGGACTGGTTTTCCATTCGATGAGCCCATGGCTCTCTGACGTTGATGGAACGGTAATGGTGCAACGCCACTAGTGGTCGAATATACCATTAGAGTTGATGAATTTATCGTATAACACTGCGTAGGGCTAAATTAAAAGCATATTTATCATATATACGCTACATGACAAAAAGTATGTGGACACCTGCTCGTCGAAATATGCCATTCCAAAATCATGGGCATTAATATGGAATTGGTCCCCCTTTTGCTGCTATAACAGCCTCCACTTTTCTGGGAAGGCGTTCCACTAGATGTTGGAACATTGCTGCGGGGACTTGCTTCCATTCAGCCACAAGAGCATTCATTAGTGAGTTCGGGCACCGATGTTTGGTGATCCAATTCATCCCAAAGGTGTTCGATAGGGTTGAGGCCAGTCAAGTTCTTCCACACCGATCTCGACAAACTATTTCTGTATGGACCTCGCTTTGTGCACAGGGAGCATTGCATGCTGAAACAGGAAAGGGCCTTCCCCAAACTGTTGCTACAAAGTTGGAAGCACAGAATCGTCTAGAATGTCATTGTTTGCTGTAGCGTTAAGATTTCCCATCACTGGAACTATTGAAAATATGAAGAGTGGTAGTCAGTGATGTGTTGTGTTGGATTTGCTCAAAAACATAACGCTTTGTATTCAGACATAAAGTACATTTCTTTGCTAAATGTTTTGCAGTTTTACTTTAGTGTCTTATTGCAAACAGGATGCATTTTTGGAATATTTTGTATTCTGTACAGGCTTCCTTCTTTTCACTTTGTCATTTAGGTTAGTATTGTGGAGTAACTACAACGTTGTTGATCCATCCCCAGTGTCACGACTTCTGCAGAGGCTGCCTCCCCTCCTTGTTCAGGCAGGTTTCGGCGTTCGGCGTCACCGGCTTACTAGCTACTGCTGATCCATTTATCATCACTCCATTTGTCTTGTCTTCAATCACATACACCTGGTTCTTATTCCCTCATTAATCATGGTATAAGTGTTCCCTCTGCTTCCTTGTCTGTGTGGGTGATTGTTTATTGTGGAGGTTAGTGAAGCTCGGTGGAGCTTGTGTATTGTGTATCGACGGGAGTATTTCCTGTGTGCCTTGTATTTTCCAGTCCGCCTGTTTTGTGCCCTGGAGTGTATTTGACGCATGTTTGCGTAAACCTGTATTTTGTGGATTAAAGCCTGTTATTCTGTGATTTACCCTCCTGCGCCTGACTTCTTCAACACCACCTCATCACACTCAGTTTTCTCTAATCACAGTCATTAAACTCTGTAACTGTTTTAAAGTCACCATTGGCCTCATGGTGAAATCCCTGAGCGGTTTCCTTCCTGAGTTAGGAAGGATGCCTGTATCTTTTTAGTGACTGGGTGTATTGATATACCATCCAAACCGTAATTAATAACATTTTACTGCAGCGGACTAAATCAGGGTCACACAGTGTTTCTTGGTAGTCTTAAACAAATGTCCTTTGAAACAAAAGTATACACCTCACACACATGGTTGGTTATGGTCACATGTTAGATCTAGTTTAAATGTTTTCAATTTTGAGTTTGCGTCCCAATAATACACTTTATGTACATCACAGAAGACTGAAATATAACAAAACCATTTGACATGTTATAAAAAATAAAATTAAAAATGGATTAATTATGAAATTATGACAAACATTAATAACATTCCACCTATGAGGCCACTAGAGGCGATTTGGTAATTTGACTGCAGGAAAGGGATTTAATAACTTCACCATACTCAAAGGTGTGATGCGTGTGATAGAAGGAGTCAGGCGCAGTAGAGTAATACGCATCCAAATAGTTTATTCCGTCGATAAACAGTTGCGCAAGCATTCGACAACAAAATTCAGGCACAGGGGAAATATATACCCTGGCAACAAGGTAAGGGTAGCTCAACCAAGCTACACACAGCTCACTACAAACAATCACCCACACAGACAAGGAAGCAGAGGGAACACTTATACAATGACTAATTGGGGATAAGGACCAGGTGTGTGTGATTAATTAGACAAGACAAGTGGATTGATGATAAATGGATCGGCAGCAGCTAGTAAGCCGGTGACGACGAACGCCAAATCCTGCCCGAACAAGGAGGGGAGGCAGCCTCGGCGGAAGTCGTGACATAATTGTGCCTTTGCGAGGTATTGGAAAACCTCTCTGGTCTTTTTGGTTGAATCTGTGTTTGAAATTCACTGCTTGACTGAGGGACCTTACAGATAATTGCATGTATGGGGTACAGATGAGGTAGTCATTCAGAAATCATGTTAAACACTATTATTGCCATAACAATGGGGTTGAATAGTTATTGACTCAAGACATCTCAGTTTTTCATTTTATATGATTTTTTTTTAATGTTTACAAACGTAATTCCACTTTGACATTATGTGGTATTGAGTGTAGGCCAATGACACAACATCTTCATATAATCCATTTTAAATTCAGGCTGTAACACAACAGAATGTGGAAAAAGTCCAGGGGTGTGAATACTTTCTAAAGGCACTGTAGATAGATGGAACATTCTGTAAGAGTGGAGCATGGAAGAGGTGGAGAGATATTGGGGGAGGTGGATGCATACCTCCCCTGCTCTTGACAAGGGAGTCAGAGGCAGTCTTTCAATTAATCAATTATATATATTTTTGTCTATTTTCATCTAATGCTACTTACTGTAATAATTCACTGTAATCTAGTTGTCTTCGGTGGTCACGAATTCTTGGCTCTACAGTGCGTTTTTTAAAATACTAACATCTTTAGATATGCTCCACTGTACAACAGACTGAGGTAGCCTCCGTTTGTTCTGTTTGGTGGGTGTGACGGGGTGTGCTTAAAGCATGAGTGACGTATTTGAAGGGCATCGGTGCATTTTTAACCGTTTTTCAACTGGTCATTTAGAACAGCATCGTTTTCGTTTAATTGAACGTTGCATTACATTTTTACGTACTGAACGCCGGCCTGGTGACTTTTCTACTCCAAAATGTATGAAAATAAAATTATGTTGACACCATTACAATATAAATGTTCACAAAAAAAATGAGCCTAACAACATATTGGTCCATATTATCAGGCTGGTGTGTTATTTAGCAATAAGCATGATCACCTGTAGCCCAAATGATGCAGCATTGTGGCTATACATAAATAGGGTGAAGCATGGGGTTGCCCATCTGTATTTGTGCTAATCATTAGCTAGATGCTGTTTCAGTCATGGCGCCCTTTCATCATGGGGGAACATATCCCCCAATACTCTGCGTCGGTATTCATGTCATAATAAGGAATTCCCCTCGACTACACCCACAAATTGAGGGAAACAAAAATTAATTATTGTTGTCGATTTTTTGTTATAGAGAAATAACAAAACATTCAGAAAAGCTGCTTTGTTATTCAATGTACATGTAACCAGGTCAAAAATCATGACCTACGGTTCACAATGCTCCCACGTAGGGAAATAGAGCCTGTGAGAAGAGCCCTGTCACTTTTCGGCATGGGAGAGTGGGAAATGTGGGGACCCGGTGTCCACTCTTACAAAAATGAACCATGGTAGTAAAATTAAAAAAATGCCATGGTACTATCTGTGTCCCACCAATTTTCAAGTGTCCCACCAATTTTCAGGTAAAGTGACCAAAAACATAGTAATTTATGGTACTCACATAATGCAACATTGACTACTCGCTCTTAAATGGCAAAGTGTGGGCCTAGTACCCTCTTAAACCCCTTTAGCTCATAGTGAAAAACCACAACACACATGGTCTAGTAGTGTAGTGTACCCTCTTAAACCTTGGGACCTGGATAGGGTATGGTGAGAAGAATGAAGGGAGTATGAAACCTTAAAGATTTAAAATAGTTAGTTTATCTGGTGCTTCTATCTTCAATAAAGTTTTCAGTCTCTGTGTGAACGTTTGTTGGTCCTGTCGCCAGGACTACGACAGGCTAGCTTGACTGGAGCTAACTTAGCCGACGTTAGCTTCTCTGCTAACAGACTTTTATTAATTAAACTATGAAAACATAAATTATATAATTACACTCCGCTAAACATAGTGTTTCATATCCTATGCTTTATAACTCGCTCACTGTGATGATAACATTTAAAATATTTAGTTTATCTGGTACTTCTCTCTTCAGTTGGCTCTCATATTCAACTGACTCACTTACTAGGCAGGTTAGCGTGAAAGTGAGAGTGCTGAAGCAACCACTAGAGCGAACGGCTCCCTCTGCGAGCCGAAAACAAGCGCAACACCGCTTGACTATAAATACTGTAAATGATGACAAAATGCCAAAGATTAGGCTACCATATATCTTACATTCTCCCACATTTCAGGTTGGCAACACAGCAAACATGAGCAAAAAACTGTACAATTAATATAGAAAGTATTACCCCTATTTCTTTGATGTTACAGACAAACTAGGACCAACAATAGTAGCCTGCCTCTGACTTTATCAGAAACTTGCCCATACTGGTATATAAATGAATCAATATAATACCAACCAACCACATTTGACATTGGGGGGTTTATTTATTGAATGTATAATACTGCCATTGTGCTATGGTAATGCACAATTAATAAAGATAATGCGTTACCATGGTAGAATGTATAATGCAGGATAAAACCATGGTATTTCCATGATCCACATCTACTTAAGTGATAATGTCAGAGAAGCCGGAGTTTGAAGGATATATTGGCACGGGTGTTGTTAGTCGCGAGTCGAAGTCGAGGGGCCAGCAAACCATGCCAATATATCCTCCAAACACCGGCTTCGAGGGCATTATCACTTTTATACAACGGGTTACCAACATATTCAAAATGATTTATATATTTTCATTAAAAATGTTATTCTGATGAATTTATTCATACTATTTCATCATTCCACAAGATATAGCCCCGACACAAATCTAGGGTTGCTACCCAAGCCCGCTGGTCATTCGTTCTATCAGTTCGGTTGCCAGAGACACCACCCAGTCGTTC